AACATAGGCAGACATGTTTTACGCACAGTATTACTGTGTTAGATAATAATCGATATTGTGATAAATAAGATTTAATACGTTTTTCTTCTCAGTGTTGAACAATGCGAAGCTTTGACTATGCTCGCCCCAATTCTTATTTTTATGTTTAACAATACGAATATGCTTAGATCACACACACTATCTGAAAAGTCTGATTGGATGAATTCTTTTGGAGATCCAACTTACCAAATGAGTCAATCGTGTCTAACTCTTAAAAGTTTATTAAAAAAAATCAAAGTTACAGCAACATATCGTTGAAAATCCGGCAAAAAAAAAGAAGCAAATTAATAATATTAATAATATCTTCTTTTCGTGCTATTGAGAACTATTTCTTGATCTTTAGTCCAAGATCTATACGTTGACAATATACTTTTTAAAGTTTAAACTTTGAGCATTGACGGCTCAAAAAATCCTTTTTTTCATTTTTATCAAAAAATGAATCGAACAAAGATATCGACAGTTGTGAACTAAATAGTCTAGATGCAAGGGGCACTTTTTTTGTTCCATCAGCACGTGAACTAGGGTAGTTTCGTCTTTCTACATAGAGTTACTGCGAGAATGATGTATCCACAAAGATTTCTAAACCAATCTTAGTCAATAACTCGATTTGAACCAAGGACATCACTTTTTTGAGTAGAAAATGGCTTATGAGCAAAACTCAGAATAAGTACAGTTCATTAGCACAGGTTCAGTTCATAAGCCAGATTAAATATACTAAAAGAATTGGAAGAGAGTCAACCTTTTTTTCCTTTTTATTAATTGATTGACACTTGATATGTATACAGATTGAAATATGATACAAAAGGAAAACTAAAAAGACAACAAAGTGCACGTGGCACTATCACTAAACATTTCTTACAAACACAACAGATGCTGCTGCTACCTATGACAAGGAAATTTAGAGATGTTAAACCTCAGCTAATCACTTAACAACATGTTTGATACTCTCTTGTCATGTCCAATACTGTGTACCATTCATGCATTATTTCTTTAAAAATAAGCTTTCCGTCTTGGTCTTTTATTTATTTTTAGTCCGAAGGCTTCATAGTGTCCATTCTTCTTATGTTTTCAAAGACTATAGCTTCACTCAGCAGTAGTTATTCTGATACCAATGTGGCTGGGAGCTGTCAAAGAATAATCTTCCACGATCTTCTTCATGAATACCGTCGACCTACAATCACAATTAGATTTGACTTAAGATGATAATAAGTTCATAAATGATCTGCTATAACATTTACTTAACGTCCAATCCAGGCTGGAAGACTGGAAGTGTCAAACATTG